TAGCCAAAATGAGCCAGTAAGAGGCAAAATGTGACACAGAACATAGCTGGCCTGTGCCTCAGTTGAGATAGCTGCATAATATCTTTGAAATACTTAGTGGCAAAAGAGCAAATGACATTCAAATAGCATGTTCAACAGCATTCAGTTTAAATTTAACCTTCTAAAAGGTATATTCAAATCACCATCTTGGAATTTGGCTCACCTAATTTTATATTCTGAAATGCTTGTCCTGCACCCAGTGCTAGGAATAGCTTTGCTGCCAAGACCATCGCTACCACTTCTTCATCTGCTTTTATTGGCTGATGTTCAAATTTTATTTCTTTAGTTAAATTTTCTGGTTAAACATTATGTATGGGCACACCTCATTTGATCAGCTATAGCCATAGAGTTTAGCCAATTTATAGCTAAATAGCCCACTCCTGTCAAGGAAGGGATGGAATTTGCTGAATTAATATAAATTCCTTGAGGCAGTAGCTGCATCTGAGCAGCACTAAGGGGAATCAACCCTTTTATATTATGATAGTTCAGAGACCTACAAGCGTTGCCCTTTTCAGCATGGTAAAATCCACATATGATGCATTTTAAGGTAAATGGAATCTCTTTTTTTGATGGATAGATGATGGGAATTATTGACGTGTCTGTCTAATGTGCTGTTCTCTTGGCAGACAGCCTAATCTTCAGAGGATAACTGAGAGCTCTTGTATGCTGTTAGTGTTTTTTGCAAGTGTTCTCAAATTGCATACAAACAGACCAACTCTTCCTCCATAAAATGTATGTAATGGCATTGATCTCAGTGGGTGATGCTCACATCCAGCCAGGAGAGAACTAGGCCCACATCCTTTAAACCCACTGCATGGTGAGATAAGATTCAGTCCCAAGAGGCATATTTCACCAGCACAAGCTACCTGCAGTCCTCCAGGACTGGCTGCTCCAGAAGGCACATTTTGCTCTCAGTATGCTATATAGGTTTCTGTGCCTATTCCTCAAATACAAAATAAGCATTCTTATATCCATGTCAAATGATGAATCTCTGCTGTTAAATTTACGCCCATGTAAGACAGTGAGGGTTGTGCAGCCACTGTACTTTCAAAGCATGTAGTACTGTTGCTCAATGCTCTCCAACCAAGCAAATGCTTTAGACTCCTCTCCTTGCACCTTTTTGGACAGGTTTTACAAAGATACATCATGTATCAGTGACATGCCAACAGTCAGCAAGTGTTTCACATAGATGTGGCCACTGAACACACTCTAGATAAGCAAGAATATTTCAAAATAAACCTTTAAAGAACAAAAACTACATGTAGAAGTAAGGAACAAACTTCCAGACATCTTTATCAGTACTTGGTACATCAAAGGATATTCTCACTGCCTATGTGCTGAATGTACATGTTCTGCTGTATAATTTCCCTTCTTTAGATCTGCATCTAACTAGGACTAAGTGATACAACATTAAATTTAGCAGAAAACTTGAACATAGTACCTGACTGAAGCACGCATGCTACTTCAAACACAAGCTTATGGTGGCCCAATGAGAACTTTTCTCGATGTACTTTTTTGTATGTAAGTCTGCAAGGCATTAAGAGTGAGGTTGTTCAGTCTCAGTCAATAACATTATGAGTTTGCAAGTTATCTTCTGTGTGTGTGCATTTGTGTTCTGGGACATTTTGGGAGGATACCTGTGTTTTTCATGTTACTTTTGCCTTCATATGTGACCAGAAAATGTAGATGATTAGTGACTGCTTCAGCTCCCATAGCCACATTTTCACTATATCAACATACTACATTTGGGATTGTTTAAATTTGCAATATTATGGCTGTTTCTTCTTCCATGGTCTCTTGCTCCCTATCTATCTCCCTAACCATCCTCTCTCTTACTGTAGCTGTCAGCTGAGTGGGGACTTGCTGTGCCCATGGCAGTTGCTGCATGGTGCAACATATGGCTCTTCTGTAGAAACCTGGTTTGTGTCCTTCCATTTTAACATAAATGCTTTCCTATATATTGTCTGCTTATTTATTTAACTCACTGACTAGAAGAAAGCTGGCTAGGGGTCTCAGGATGAAAGTCATTAACGCAAGCACACTGCAGGAATTTGCTGTTCTTGAACTAGTGATCATCACACATTTCCACAGCACAGTCGTGGGCACAAGGCCTACTGGAAGACCAGTGACACAATCCACTGCAAGTCATATGCTCACAATTCCCTCAAACAAAATTTGCCCATTTTCACCCTGGCCAATGTCACTTGTGACTGATTAAGATGGTATGATTGGCACTTTTCTCTAGGAATCCTTATACTTCTGACAAATTCCCTACATTAGTATCCATTTCTTCTGTGTCATTAATCATAACGTTCTTCTATTTAATTTGTCAGCCCAAAATGCATTTGGGAATCCCTGCCAATACTTTCTTTCTTCTCATTTTGAGAAGCATGATTTGTGTAACCTTCAAGAGTATTCCTAACATCACTGAAAGCTCCCTTTTATAGTTGGAATTTATGGATGGGGATATGTTGGCATTTTCTTTTTCCTCTGTTACTAATGGTTGCTGTTGCTGTGCGTGCCAATACCCCTCTTGCACTATCCATCTTCAGATTTTTCCCATGGGGGTAGATAATGACATGAAGCTCTCTTTATGACACATGAAGGTTTACTGCTCTCCCATATCAGACTGTGTGATGTAGGGGGAACACATGCTCCAGAAATGTTACCTTACTGGTATTGAGTAGGGCCAGGTCTGCTACACAGCAATCACTTCATGCTCCTGCATTGTTTCTCTAATGCTTTTTTTTCCAAGTCGTTTTCCAAGTATTTGCTGTGGGGCTTTTTGCTTTTAAGTTACACCTATAGTCATGAAATACAGAATACACCAAGCCTAATGCATCTCTTTCAACTTCAGCAGACGTACTTTTTTTTTTTTTCTTTTCTTCAGCTACAGTAGTCCTTCACTGAGTCACTGCTTGCTGATGTCGAATCTAAGAAAACAGATGTGGCCAGTGAGCCCTTCCTACAAGGACTGGATTTCATTAAATACTCCAGTCTGCTCTCTGAAAAGCTGAAGCTTCTAAAAGAAATACCAGTAAGGCTTGTTACCTTTTCTTTTTCAAGGACTCAGTATTTCTACAGACCAGCACAGTTGTCTCCAAACTGTATTTTCTCCCTACTCATGAAGCCTACATAGGCTACTGCCTAGGCTTTTACAACATTTTAACTTTGAAACCACACAGAAATAAATTAAATGCTCAAGTAGTGCGTACTGGATTAGATAGGTTCAAGAAAGCACCCAGAAATAATCCTTGGATCCTGCACTTCATCCCACTATCACTGATTTTGTACTAGAAGTACTCTTGAGGGGGTGCACAAATTTTGTTTGAAGGCAAAACACAGATAAGAAAACAAGCCAGGCAAGAGCTGTGGCAGGTTTTCTGTTTCACTTTTGTTTCTCCCTGGTATAAATCAATGACCCTTGACAGACTTTTGCCTTTCAGTGCTATCCTCTTCCTGTAGCATCTTGTTCCTAGCCACTTTTCTACTTGTGTTGGCTTCGTGAGGCTTTGATTCAGCTCATACTGCTGAGAGCAGATGTTGAGAGCATGGCCCTGGGTGCTGCATTCTTCGGTACTGAGATTTTTGCATGTCGTCCTTCACTGTGTCTGTAAGAAAAGTGCCAAAACCTTCCACAGAGGGCAAAGCAGTTGAGTTGGTGCAATAAGAAGCTATATATAGGTGAAACTTTGAAGGGCTTTAACCTTAAAACATAGCCTTAGTTCAGTAGTGCTCCTGGGAAGTGGTGCATTTTTGGGAGCACTGGGTCATTTGGGGGGGTTTCTGTCATCAACTGAAAAGATGTAATGTAAACTCTCTCAGCTAAATTATACCATGTTTCAGTGCTTGGAAGCTTGTATTGCCATCATACTTTCCTATATTACTTATGCTGTTGTCTCTTTTTTCCAGCTCATCCCATTAAAGTAGAAAATATTTACCGTTTATGGAGCTTTTCTACTGGCCTGTCAGTATTCTTGCTTCTATCCTGCTCAGCCCTTCTCATTCTTCACAGACAATGAATCCTCCACTTCAATTTCCGATTAACTACTTCATTATCTAGGTGTAGTATTTTGTTGGTTTAGACCATATTCTATCAGCTTCCATGGCAACTAATCTCAATTCAGAGGCTCAACCTCATGTGTGGATTTAGTGTGATAGCTTTGAGAGTTTTTTAAAGTTGTTTGGGGAATTTGGTGCATCATTTTCTCTATAGCCTCCAGTACTGTTTCTGAGCTCAGCAAGGCTATGCTAGCATGAACAGCAGTGCCTCATTTTCTTTGGGGGCGGGGGGATGGGGAACTCAGAAACTCCTTATTCTGCAAATTATAGTTAATGTTCTGGTATAAAAATGTACACATTAAATGTTAAGGGGTATATTCTCCATTCATTTCATGTGTGATTACTCCTCTTTGACATTAATTGGAATTCTGTGCAAAGGCTGAAAAGAGACCATCAGTGGTAATGTAAATTGAAACAAATCTCTGATATAACACAGCTTTTAAAGAAGGAGTCATTCAAGCAACACTGCTGCAGTCTCCAAATATTCTGTGTCATTAATGACTAAAGGATCCACTGGACTGTTAATAATGATGTAGTAGGATGGTATAATCTACTATTGCTACATGAAGGCATTAAATAAATATTATCAGCTAATAATTTTATGTAGCAAATATTTGAAACTGGCTATGTAAGATGGACTGAGCTCTGTTGCAGACTCACAGTCCACCACAGTGAACTGAGAAGGGATAGCTTCAATGCAGTTTTCAGCACCTATAAAAAATGACAGGAAAATTGATAAGAAAGGTGTTAGTTCCTGACTTGTACATCTTAGTCAGCTGAGCTGGAGACAAATTACGAGAACAGCAAGGTCTGACTGCTTCCTTATGCAACCAGGAAAAAAATTCCTCTTTCTGTTGACAGACAGCTCAGTGCTCTGTCACTGCAGTTCAGCTGGAAAAGGCAGAAACAGAGGATGCTGGAGCGCAGCTCACTTCTCCTTGCAGCTCCCGGACGGCTCTCTGCCCGCTGCCGCTGCGCTTCGTATGGCCGCACACCTGGGCCCCCCCGGTGTGGGTCCTGCCTGTGGGTCTGCACAGCCACGGCACAGACTGAAACCTCCCTCACGGTAAGGCTTTCCAAGATCTATCTGTGGGGAGAAAATATAATTTATAATGTGTTCTACTCTCTCCATCTAAGTCCTTCCTTTACAGGGGTACCTGTAGGGGTTATTGTGTTGTTTTTAAGCAATTTTCCTAACTGGAATTACTGCCTTGATTTCATTTACCATGAAGCCACACCAGCTGTGGTACCAGCACCAGAGAGAAGAGCACAGGGGAAGGAGGGCACAGGGGATGCTTAAATTGGCCTTACTGCTGAGAGAAATACTTACTTTAGCTTTGATGATGGTTTCCTCCTTGAAAACACTACTTCAGAATTCCCTTCTTCTGTAGGCCCTCAAGTGTTAGCCCTCCTTCATTATGAAGGATGTTAAAACAGTAGAAAAACAGCCATATACGCCCTCGGAAGGAGAAACACAGCAACTGGTGCTTCTCATATGCCTTTTTGTTCTCAGTTTAGTTCTCTAAGTGATGCTTCACTCTCCTTCTACCTGATGAAATACACTCACAGAAGCTAACTCCAGTTTCTTAAGCACACACATACACAGACTTGGATTTGCTTAGACTAAACATGTTTCCTTTTTAAATTGGGCTAATTGCTAATTAGCTTGATCTAATTAACGGCAGTGAATGCAAACTTACACCTTCCCTAAAAATTTATTCCAGGAAACAAATAGTTGTTTCTAATCTCTGCTTGTTCTAAGGCAAGCCATGATACAGCACAAGCATTTGTGTCTTGAAAGAAATGACTGCAAGAGGGGTAGGTTTGCAGTTGTCATCATGTGTTAACTATTTCATGTTAAATGGCAACCAATTAAATAAATGCAAAAGAGGACCAAAGCATCTGGCTTAGGCAAGGTTTTCACTGAAAGATGAGAAGTGTGTTTGAAAGAGAATGTTTCCACATGTTGGAAAGCATCAGTCAAATGTAAGTGTGAGAAGGTGGTGGGATGGAAGGGAGGGACTGTGGTATGCTGCATTTTTAAATGTTTACAGCAATCAGATTTGGACTTATTTTGGCTATTGCAAGGTTTGGTTTACTTTACAGAAACAAGAAACTGAGTATTATCAAAGTTTATTTTTAAAAAAGAAAAAAAGCAAACCTAGTCCTGGGATCAGACTATAGCATGGTTTGAAGTCTCTACAATACAATTTAATTAGATTGCTGTAGCATTCAGTACCTCAGTTCATACTGAGACTGTGATGCAGAGCTGTATTTTTCAAACTTTTTATTTTCAGTTGTGGAGAAGCATTGAGAGACAGAGGCAGAAGAAGCTGAATGTTTCTACAACCCTGCAGGTAAGAGTAACTGATAAACACATAAGACAACAAATGTATTTTTATTTTTAAATACTAACGGTTTCTGATAGGCCAAGTTAATTCTCTTAACGGTATGAAGATGTGGGGAGGAGAAGGGAAGGGGTACTCTGTAGCAAGACTATGAAGGTTAGCCACAGTATTGCTGATGCAAAGATCAGAGGAAGTAAATCTGGGGCAAGTAAAGAGACACCCTGGTAAAAAAACAGGCATTGAAAGAGAAGCATTCTGTGCTGCTCTACAGATTCTGAAGATTTGTGCAAAGTAAGGAGGGAATGGGGGGAATATTTTCCTGGTTTTGTCTGGGCTGTAAGGAGAGTAGCTATGACTCTGTATGCTTTTTTCCCACTTTAAATTTTCACATCCCTTTCCTGCTCCCAAAACGGCATCTCATTTCCACTCCCAAGTTTTCCCCTCACTTGTGCTTCAAAAATGCTGTGGGTAGTCTCATGTCATAAATTATATCACTGAATTGATCTGATTTGCCACACTGACTCAATGAGAATATTTAAATTCTCTTTACTTCTGAGAAAAAGCATGGAAACCTTTGCGAAGGGCAACGTGTGCATTCTATGTGTGTTAAGTTACAAATGCTCAGTGCATAAACCTTTAGAGTTCTGGGAAATAGTGCGTTTAAGCCATGGAATGTCCCCTGGAAAGTGAGAGAGAGCATCACTGCCTGGGCATGTGCCAGAGCCCTCCAAAACCCAGCCTGGTCTCCGTAGGCTCAATGTGAGAGCACAACACTCTGCTGCTCTCATACCTTAAGTTAAATTAAGTCATAACTCATAACCATAACTAAAGATAGTTAAGGTATAAACAAACTTTTGTCGCAAAAGATAGATTTTTGGGAAGTTTTACGCTGAAAACAACTGATTCCATGGAAAGCAACTTCCACAGTCACCGATTTTTTGTCACAAAAGCCCAGAATGGTACAAATGCCTTGCCTAAAGTTTAATATGTTGACCTCTTTCAGGAAAGCAAAGCTATATCCTCTTATATCAATGTGGTAATTTATACAGTGCTTAAAAGACTGTAGGCTAGCCAATAGTACTTTAAATGAAGGACAAACTTTTACACTTGTTGTAGTAGAACTAAATTATTTCCTAGAATGCTGTTTTTTTAAATGTATGTTTATTTTTTAAAAGCTTACACTTAAAAAAAGGATCCTTTTGACAACCCTATTTTTCAACATTCACTAAATAACTCCTAATGCATTTCACTGAGGGTTCTTATGCTTGTGTTTTGTCTTGGAATACATTGCTATTTTGTCAGTACCTTAATATGCACGCAAAACCCTCAGCACATAAAGCTGCAAGGAAGAAAATTGTGTATTTTTGAATGCTTGCTGAAATTCAGACCCCTGCTTCGTGATTCCTGTAGCGTTATTCTCATCTGATTACTGTTCCTGCTGCTCTTAGCTGCCTCCTCTGCATTTTAAACCTAGTGGAAACAATGCAACATTGTGCATTTTTCCTTTTTTAGCCAATATAAAGAATTGGATAAATACGAAAGTACATGCTATGATTTTTTCTGAGTTTGTTTGTGGCAGTTGTGGAGTGCAAAGTAGCTTGGGTTTGGCAGGATTTTCAGGTGAAATGTAGCTGTATCTGAAATCAGAATTACCTGAGCTTGGTAGATCATATTCTCATAAAGTGATTCAGTAAGGGTGCTCTGGGGTAGGCATGCTTGGAGTGTGCATATTTGTCTTCCTTCACTGCTATTTGTATAGCTTCTTTCAAATTTTTGCCAGGATGACAGTGTTTGCATTTGACCTACTTTGGTTATTATTAGATTCTTTCTGTGCACCGTAATTGACTCTTTTCTGAGATGCCATGTAAGATGCCTGAAGTCTTTTACATGTGTTATCTAAATATTTGATTTCTTCCATTAGTCTGTCTGCATGCCCTGTTTCACTCTTGAGCAATAACCTCAAATGTTTTCAAGCCCCGTAACATTCTGTATATCTCCTGAAAGAGCTCAGTAGTACCTAGCAAGAAGCTAACTGGGAAATGTCAACTAGGTATCATGGTGTTAAAGTTCAAAAATAGCATATTGCAAAAGGCTAAGACCTCCCTGACATGTGGTAACATGGCAGGATGTCAGGAGATCATGCTCTGTAGCTGTTTTGTCAACTGCATGAAATGATGACGTGAAATGATGAAATAGTTTGACCAGTGTTGTCAGCTGAGTATTTTCTTTTTATGCCAGTTACGATTTAAATATCAGCCAAATTCTGCTATATACTTGCCTTGTTTTAAGGCCTCTTTTGAACATTATTTCTGTACTATTTAATAAATTCCTTCCACAATTACCATCCAGACCTTGGGACCAAAGTAGAACGTGTGAAACTATTTAGGTATTGGAGAAATGCATAATTGGGATGAGAATCCAACATCAGCGTTATTTGAAAGCAGAGATATTTCTGGAATCTGGGGGGAAAGGCAGAAAAGTGAAGAGAGGAAGAAAGAAGAGAGAAAGAAAGTGGAGAAGAGAGGAAGAGTCCAGGTTATTGATTTCCTAATTACAAGCAGGTCATGTCAGACACTACAGTCAATAAGCTGTTCACTCACATTTCTGCATGACTGGAGCATATTGTGAGTTACCATGGTATATATTTTCATTAAAACAGCTGTGTAGATGACCTTAGATGAGGGTCAAAACTGGTGAGCTAAAGCATGTTGCAAATGAATTTTCAAAGGGGTATCTGCTAGCTAGTGAAATTATACTTTCACGTGACTAAGCAATTTAAGATAGGTACTGTAGCCAAGAATCAAATGGAATATTTTTTCCCCAAGTGATTAAGCACAAATTTTTCACACTGTAAAAATATTTCTCTGAATTCATTCAAGCATCTAACCATCTGACTGGATCATAGCCAGAAGCTAACTGAACAAACTTGTGCTTGTATAGGCTGGAAGCAATGAAAAAAAATATTGCTGGAATGTGTAGCTTTGAGAAAATATCTAATTCAGTTACTCTTTAAATACAGATTATTGAAGTTTACCTCTTCTAATATTTTAATCAAAGTCACAGGACAGCATTCAACAACTGGGAAGCAAAAGCATAAATACCCAGCATGTATTCTAGAAAGCATTTTATGGGAAAAAAAAACACCAAACACTATTTAGCAGGCTCATGTGCTTTCATTAGGTTATGAAAGGACTAAAATATGCCACTGAATACTGTGCTCTTCTTTCCTCAGTTGGACATCAAATAGACATTGTCTTCACAGGGAGACTGAAGCACTCCAAATTCCAGTGTATCAGTCAGGTGCCAGATATTTCTGTGATTGAGAAGTCAAACCTTCATTCTGGCATGGATTTTTTTTCTTTTTTCTTTTTTTTTTTTTTGATTGCTTGTTAAAATTTTTGAGAACAAGAACAGAATGGACACTAACAATTCTGCAGAACAGGAATTGTCTTACTGATCTGAAAAATAGAACACAGCACTACAAATATCCGAGTCACCTTTTTCAAGTTTACTAGAGATATCTTGCTCAGGAATGGTGCATCAATTTAATCTCAGCCACCAGAATTGAAACCTGCTTCAGTTCATATGCTATTTGCATTAAAATCTTGCTGTGTCTAGGTTAGTAAATTCTGCTTCCTAGAGCTCTTCTGATGAGGGGTAGCAGTTAAGCCTATTCTTTTCATTAGGCCCTCAATATATTGAAATCTTCAAAATAAAGAAGTGCTGAGGCCATCAGTTACCCCAAAACTACGTTCAACAAAAATAACTGGCTCTGCAACAATTCTTCATGTTTTGGTCTAAACAGCTTTTTACAGAAGAATTTTGTTTGGATCCTTAGGAAAGGGGGGAGAAGGCAGGGATATGTGTCATCTCACAGACCAAGCCTGCTCTCGCCAAGTCAACTAGCACGACAACCCTGACTGTAGTGAGAATTCGGCTGGCTCCAGAATAATTGAAGCTGACAGCCAGTATGGAACTGAAGCACATCTGCCTCATTAAAGGACGAGAGCTGTTCAGGAAATTAATAACGCTGTGTACTGTATTTTAGGAATTAACTAGCTGTGGTAGAGAAAACATGGATGTAAGACAACAGTTGCAAAGCAGAGAGGTTGTAAGATAAAAGGAAACAGGCTTGCTGGAACAAGTAGTCTTTATTGTTGCTGTTCAATCTTTACGGCTTGACTTGAACCAGCTGACTGGTTTGAGTTCCTTTGTTCACTGGTTAGATTGCTTGCAAATTTAGGAAAACATAATTTAGTTCAAGGCACCAAGAACTATAGCTTAAAAAAAGAATTTGCTCCTATGCTTGAAGTGAAATAATATGTGTTTAAATACACTGTTGGATCCAGAATGTTCCACGTCTCATGGGACTCATCTCCTGACAAATAACTCCTTTGCTGTGTGTATCTGGAGACTAGTTCTAGCTAGTTAATGTACAGAAACCTTATTACTGCGCCAGTTCTTGAAATGACCAAAATCACCATGCTAAGAAGTTAAGACTAGTCACATGGAGTAAAATGAGTCATGTTTCCATTCCCTTGATATTTACTGCTGTACAGATTATGGCAAATTATGTTGCATCGCTTTGTGATATATAGAACTTGAGGGATTTAGTCCAAGTTCAGTCTATTTAATTTTCAGATGTTAGATCTCAGCTATTGCAAGGTATTATGGTCACCAGTTTATTCATATTTGAGGTTTATGTATTTGTAAACAGATTACACAAGTGTGGTGGGTTGACCCTGGCTAGACACCAGGTGCCCACCAAAGCTCTCTATCACTCCCCTCCTCAGCTGGACAGAGGAGAGAAAACATAACAAAACACTTGTGTGTTGAGATAAGGACAGGGAGAGATCACCCACCAATTACTGTCACAGGCAAAACAGACTCAACTTGGGGAAATTAGCTTAATTTATTACCAATCAAATTGGAGTAGGAAAACAACAAATAAAACCTAAATCTTTAAAAACACCTTCCCCCCACCCCTCTCTTCTTCCCAGGCTTAACTT